GTCATCACTATGAATGAGGAACAGATGGAGAAGGCGGAGAAGCAAGGCTTCCATGAATTCTTCAAATTGACGACGAAGCTCAGCACGGCTAACATGGTCTGTTTCGACTTTGACGGCAAGATTAAGAAGTACAATTCGCCTGAGGAGATCCTTGAAGATTTCTACCCCAAACGTCTCGCATACTACCAGAAGCGCAAGGTACGCCTTCTCTGCCCCCAAACGAGTGCGCCCCGTTGGAGACTAATCATTCAACCAGGACTTCCTCGCGAACGAGCTGCAGACTCAGCTTGATCGTCTTAACAACCAGGCTCGGTTCGTCAAGATGATCATTGATAGGGAGCTTATCGTTTCAAATCGCAAGAAGGCGGACATCGTCGCAGAGCTGCGCAAGAAACAGTTCCGTCCGTTCCCCAAGGTCGCGAAGGCTAAGGTTCATGGCGAAACCGAGGATGTCGTTGAGGACGATGAAGGCAATGACTTCGAAGGCAACGTCACCGACTATGACTATCTACTGGGCATGGCCATTTGGAGCTTGACCAAGGAGAAGGTCAGTCTTTGTTCAAGATCTCGGCTACCGTGACCATTAAATGTATTGGCTTCCGCAGATCGATAAGCTCCTCCAGCAAGCAAAGGAGAAGGAGATCGAGCTCCTTACCCTCCTGGAGCTCACTCCAATTCAAATCTGGCAAACAGACCTTGACGTCTTCCTCGAGCAATGGAAGGTGGGTTGCGAAAGCCCTTCTTGCGACTGCATGGCTCATTTAAATTGCCGCAGATCAACTGCCAGGATTGGGAGGCCAAGCTCTGTGCTGCCGAAGAGGAGTCCACCGGGACCAAGAAAGGCAAGAGGAAGCAGGCAAAGCTCCCTTTCCGTGAACCCAAGAAGCCCAAGGCGGAAGATGACGATGAGGACTTCAAGCCCGGAAAGGCCGCGCCTAAGCCGCGCAAGGCGTCTGAGGCTAAAAAGCCTGCCACCACTGCCGCGTCTGGGTCAAACGCTGCCTTGAAGCAGGACGACGACGACGACGCCGTTCCACCTCCTAAGAAGCGTGGCGCGGCTGCAGCCAAGAAAGTCGCCACGAAAATCGAGTCTGATTCTGATGTTGAGATGGTGGACGCGCCCCCGAAGCCTATGGCTAAGAAGAAAGCGGTCACGAAGATCGAGTCTGACGACGATTTTGACTCGCCTCCCTCTGCGGAAGCTAAAGGGAAGGGCAAAGCCAAGAACGGTTCAGCCGCGAAGCGGAAGAGGTCAGTACCAGGGTCTCCCCAGCGGTGCACTCTCCCTGACTTTGCCTCCCTCAGTCCGGACATGGAGATAGACGGCAGCGACGACGAGATGTATATGAAGCCGGCGGCAAAGAAGAAGAAATCGTCAAAATCCCCGCCAGACGACGATGACGACGACGGCATCGCGGAGGTCCCGCCGCCCCCGAAGAATGGAAAGCAGGCGGCGATGACGGACTTCTTTGGCAAGACGGCACCTGCTGCGGCCGCGGCAAAGAAGCCTACTGCACGCAAAGCTTCGTCGAGTAGTCAAGCTGCGAAGAACAGGTCGGCGTCGACGGCGAAGAAGCCTGCAAAGAAGGTTGTCGATTCAGAAGACGACTTCTCCGATGACGACGTTGTCCCAGCCCCGCCAAAGCCGCGGGCGGAGGCGCCGAAGCGTGCGACGCGGGGCGTGGTGTCGAAGTACGTGGAAATCACGTCTGGAGACGAGGACCAAGGCTCGGATTTCGAGGACTTTGACTAGACCACGGCTACGACGTTATTATGAGCTCCTCCGCTCTCCTCATGGCATTCTCCATTACGTTCTGCGCGTCGAATCTTGACCCCGTGTATTCTTATTCGTTCCTTGACGACCCTGACTCCTCATGTATTCCTTCTGACCATCGTTGATATCCATACTCATCTCGTCCATTGTGTTTCATACCCTATCGTAATACATCCAGCCCTCTTTGTACACGTCCAAGCAGTGGCCTTGCCTATAGACCTCACCGGTTGGAAAACTGTTGCGCGTAGGTTCTTAACATCTACCGGGACGGTGCCTTGAAATCCTTCAGCCACGCCTTCACAAACTCGATTTCCTGCTCGTGGATGGCCTGAATCTGAGGTGGCTCGGCGCTATGATCCGCCAAACCATTCTCGTCGTAGTGGTGTACGCCCTCTGTGGTACACATTTAGTCGTGGCAGTTAGAGACTGACTTTGAGCTTGACTTACCGGGGATGAGCTTGAATGGGCGCAGGGTGGTGTCCCGCCGGTTGTGCGCCCTGGGGTCGGGGCTATGCGGGGTATCGCCCCTCCACGGGTCCCCTATTCGATGAACGCGTCAATCGCGCGTCAAGAAAAGAGAGTTATGTTACGACGCACATTCGCCATCGATGATTGCGAGACGGTCATACGCGATGCCGAAGCCGCCGAGGGCGTTCACTGCCGTGATATTTGGCTGAGGAGGTACCGTGAAGTGCTCCCCGGGTGCGTAAGCCTGGGTAACATCGGTGAGAGTCCAGAGTGGGAGCATGCAGACAAAATGACGGACCAACTTGCAGAGTACGGATGCGTATTCTTGCGTGATGAGCTTGGAGATGATGCGCGGCCGCGCTGGGTCAGGCGGAGGGGTCTTTGAGGGTCGAGGTCAGTTCAATTCTCCCACAGATCAGGAGGCGGGCATATACCATGAAGAAGCCCCACTGGGTGCAGACTTGGAATTGCCATAGTCGCCAGGTCTGGGAGAGGTCTGTTTGGGTGAACTGCTCTGGGGAGGTGATCGTGCCAAAGCACTGCGAGGGTCCCCGTTCAGAGGGAATTCGATAGTGAATGTAGGGAAGGAACAGACGCACATCGTTCTGGTCGCCTCTGCATTGCGACGAGTAATGCTAAAAGGTTACGTTAGTTATTTAGTAGTAGTGCGACAATAGGGCGCTTGCCTGATCAATGTACCGCGCATAGTTGGAGGTTGCGTTGCTGATAGTAAGGCCTTGGGTCTTCACAGTCGCCTTGCTTGGAGTACCCAGCGCTGTGCAGAAATCGGCAAAACCCGTGCTGCCTACCTCCGGGTCCCAGTTCTTCCCCTGCCACCCCCCGAGAGGGTTCTGCAAGAGAACGCCTCCATCAATTTAGTCCCTCCGCTCCCGGGCCGCCATGCCCAACGCACCGTGAGCACCGACACAAAGTCCGGGTCATACGTGACGTTCTGGAGGCCGAAGACCGCCTTGATAGCGTGCCGCGTCTTGTTGCTGTGGCTCGTAATGAACTTATCGACCTCGTCTACGGTCTTCTCGATCTGCGCGATACAGTCCGCCGGCGCGTACTCCCGAATGATATCGAAGTAGCGCCAGTCGTCGAGAGTCGCGTGGACGACTGCGCTCGACGCAATCGCGCCAAAGACGAGGTCCGGGTAGAGCACGCGCATGTGCGCCGCCCGCGCGCCGCCGTAAGAACCCTGTGGTACGCGTGGTGGGTTATTCGCTTCTGGGGCCACGGACGCGCGCGAATGAAGATTCTTACCCCGTAGTATATCCACGGAGTTCCGGGGGCCGTGATGTCACCAGTGATATTAGGGAAAGTGACGTTGTCGATGAAGTTGGCCGAGTCTGCAGCAGCCTGCTCGTTCGTCAACCACCTGCACGCAGTCGTCGTTATCAGTCGTCGTCATGCGGCGCGACGCCAGAAGAGAGAATGGAAGTCTGAGATCCCCGAAATAGCTCCTTAATACCAGCCAATTCAGTCCTCTAAAGACCTCTCCATGGTGGCGGAGATGGCAATGTCCACTGCGACATATGGGCGCTCGTCTCAATGGATTTGGACCTTCCGACTTAGACTACTTGCGCTGGAGCGCCAGGTACGGCGTACGTACCTCAAGGAGTCAGTGGTGAAATTCTGTACAGGCACCGACGCCCCTGGAGAAACTCGTAAGCGACGCGGTCGTGTGATCCGTTGGAAAGGAACCTCAGGCTCGTACCATAATATCGGTGCTCGAGCACGACACCGAGTCCGTTGGTGGCGTTGGCCAGGATGTCGACGATGCCAGTGTCCAGGATGGGCATCCGCTCGTCGCCGGGACCCTCTCCAGCCTCAAAGACAATAACAGGGCCGCCCGCCTTGTAGTGACGGTCGTTGACCCAGTACTGCTGCTCGAACGTGTGGCCCGTGTCCTGGAAGTGGTCGAGAGGCTGGGTGAAGGTGTACACTGGGAACGTCGGGGACTGTCGTTTTGCTACCGCAGCGTTCTTGGCCTGTGTCGCTTCGAGCTTCACCCAAACCGGGTTGGAGGGATGGAAGCGAGCTGCCGCTGCACTGGCAGTGAGCAGCAGGGTTAAGGCCCCCAGCGTACCGAGCTTGGAGGAGGTCATGTCGACGACTCCGGGAAAGTGGAGGCGAACTGGGAGAGTCCGAGGACACACTGCTCAAACGGCTATCTACTACTTATATTGAGGAATCAGAAGACTGCGTTTGCAGATCAGCGCCCGGTACTGGAACCCGTTTGCTCCGGGTATCTGACCTGCCAACACGGACAACGCAGGATCATAACGACCATGTGGTGGCGAAGCCGTGAGCCGTTGGCTGCCGTTGGGCCCGGGGGCTGTGAGAGGGTTTCACGACATTTGCATGTTCTGTCACGGCCGTTTGTAGCTTGGGACACTCGCCTTGAAGAATCTACGGACTCTGCAACGCCTGAACGCCATGTGTTGGTACAGTTCGGACGGTGCTGAATCCTGATATATAGTTAACGAGCTTCAAGTCTGATTGACTGGGATCCCATGGGCTCCTGAGGACGTATTGCGTGAGATTGGCATTTGGAATAAATGACTTAGCCCAGTTGACACTGCTCGCTGCTTGAATGCACTCGGTTTCCAAGTGATCGAAGGCATTACCATGGACGACCAGTGGTCACTACTAACTAGTACTGCGCAGACGGTGGGGCTGCGGCCGAAGACGGCAAAAAATCAGCCAGTATTGAGACTCGGTATGTAAACTAGTATTTAAATGCTGCATGTCATGCCCCATGGCTGAGTTGGTTACAGCGTCCGACTGTTAATTCCAAGATTCACATCTAGTGTTTAGAGGTTTAGCGGTATCGGAAGGTCGTGAGTTCGAGCCTCACTGGGGCAGTGCTCCATCCACCTCTCGGAGTTTTTTTTTCTCAACGGCCTAGGTAAGTACTGGTGCCCGACGTACTATCCCACATCAGGATCCTATGGGCATTTGGGGAAGGAACTCTTATTTGTAGCCTCCGATCATCTGATGATGGAATGCCAGCCGAAGCCTCAACGGCGGGGCACGGTGGTGGTAGAATTGTCCGTACGTTCGTTCTAGTGCATGTGCGTGTCTGTCAAAGGTCTTCCCCATATTGAAGAGATTTTTTACCGTGCCTCTCGTAGTACTGTCTTAGTAGCCCAGCCCACCCCGAGGTGTGAGTGTCCCTCGGCTGCCTTACAGACATCACTACACCTTCCAAGTTCGTCCAGCGCTCCTCACGTAGACGCCCGTCCATAATTTCTGAGGTGTGCCTCCCGGCTCGTGTGTCCGGACAACCACGCCGCTATGCTCGCCCTTCGACGTCTGCCTCGTTTCACGCCTAGAGTAGCGAGTGTACGAGGGAATGCGACTCTTGAAGCGGCTACTCAGTCACAGCCAAATGTCCCTCCACCGCCTTCTCCGTCGGTGACAGCGAAGTCCAGCGCATCTCAAGGCAAGCAGGCGGAGGATACTTTCGGTAGCGCGGGCGCGAATGGCAGCTCTTCTGGACAGCAGCAGAACAATGGAGGGAGGCAGCCTGCTCAACGGGCCCCGCGCGAATGGTGTCGGCCGATCGCGAAGGGCGTTGAGCCGGCGTACGACTACGCGCTGCGTTACATCCTGAAGGACGCGGGCTTCATCCGGAAGGAGCTCGAGGAGTTGCGTGCAGGAGTGGCGGCCGAGGAGAAGAAGCCTGATGACCAGCGGGACGAGGCGGCACTGGAGGAGATGCGGCAACGTGTGGGCATTCTGGAGATTCAGAGCGAGGTGAACTTGCCGAATGTGCGTTGGAACGCGAAGAATGGCCTGGGTGAGTGGTTTTGTGGGCCCTGGGTTTTAACGCAAGAATTAACGTGTCAATAGCGGACATGAACCAACCAATCTACAGACATTTGGTCGAGCAACGGTGGCGGGAGGAGGGCGACTTGGACCTTTTGGTACGTTATGTTACATCTCTTGACGTGAACGCGTACCGAAACCCTACGTCTGCACATAGATGGAACGTATTTATCAAATGAGCGTTGTCCCCGACATGCTGCCTGAACTCCATCCATCCTTTGATCTGCGCGTTAAATACGCGGAGCCACCTCCCAAGGACAACTACCTTCGTACGCGTGTCAGGCGAAAGCTGAAGCAGGTCGAACCTGGCATCTTCCTTGTCCCAGAGCAGGTGTGTTACTTCAGCGTTTGCGTAACGAACGCACACTAACCATAGTGTCAAGACTCGGAGACAGCCTGAGCTCTCTATGACATTGTTCCATACGGACACTCGTCTATACACCCTTCTTATGGTTGACCTTGACGTTCCGGATCCGGAGACACAGTCGTTCACGTCATACCTCCACTGGTTACAGTACGTCACTCTCGTGCGCCACGCGGTTCGTGCTCTAACATGACCTTACAGGCCTAATGTACCTCTGTCGGCGTTCACGACTTCCCCCACCGTCCCTCTCGACACTCACACGCGCTACGTCCCTCCTCACCCGCAACGCGGGACGCCGTACCACCGCTATGTACTACTCATGCTTCCGCAAGCATCGCCCACGGAACCCATTGACATCCCCGTCTTCTCCGAGGCGGACCGGCTTGGATTTAACTCCCGTGCCTTCGCGGAGCAGTACGGGTTTAACGGCGTGCGGGGTGGCGGTGCACACATGTGGCGCGAGGTCTGGGACGAGACTGTCTCGCACATCTACAAGCACACGCTCAGTGAGTTTCCCCATGTGATGCAGCTTCGGATGGTCGTACTAAGCTATTGTCTGCGAACCCTCATGCAGAGAAGGAAGAGCCGCGGTTTGGCAGGCTTCCGAGGGCAGACCCGTACGCCGAGATCAAGCGGACGAAAAAGTACCTCTAGACGCGCCGAGTACAGCATTGGTCCTATTAGTTGTAATCACCCTCTTAATGCGATGTTGCTCTGCATTCTCCTGTCTCGTACGAATGGGTAGATATGCTATGGGTAGTCAAATTCGATGACTGCGTCGGGGATCTGTTCTAGAGCAGCGACTGCGGCCGGTGGCGGCGCCATCGGCTGAGCGATCTGCTTGGGCTGCCGTGCCGCTTGGCGACGGCCTCGATGGGATCTGCTATGAGTTATAACCACCACCACCGTCCACCGCCCAGAGCTGCGTTCGACTCAGACCACTCTCCTCGACCATGTCTGAGCTCTATGTCGGCCAGCAGCTCACGCCCAACGTGCACGACTCATCCCCGCTAGGCTCGCTCATCCGCCGCGCCTCGTCGCGGCGCGTTCCAAATCACCGACCATCCAACCTCGAGCTTCCAGGCACCCCTCCGAGACACTCACCAAGCAGCTCCCCAGTGCCGCCGCACTCGCCTATTCTGCACACACAGTTCCGCTCGTCGACCGCGACCGCGTCTTCGTACTACGACGATGCAAGCATGCGCACTTTCTCCTGGGACGGCCGCTCCGAGTCTGCACCTGGCACCGTCCCGTCCTCGCCCGCGAGCACGCACACGTTCCGCGCGTCCGCCCAGCCCGGCGGCGACCCACACGACTCGGTGCGTTCGTCCAACTATGACATCGACGACATCACCGCCCGGTACCGCGACACCTGGCGCTCGTCCGGCCTTCCTCCCCCTAGCGCACCCGACGCGCACCAGGCGCCGCCCGCGCTGCCCACCGTCGTCGTCTCCGAGGAGCCAGACCAAAGACAGCTGGACGCGTACGCGGCGGCGCAGGGCCAGTACACCGGCGGGCGGGTGCCGTCGCGCGTCCCGAGCGGGACGGTGAACTTCTCGCGGCCGGTGCTGCCGCCGTCGGGCGACGAGGACAGGAAGCGCGAGGTGCTCATGCGGAACGCGCGGGGCCCCCATTCGCCGATGGGCTCGCCGATGCACTCGCCGATGCCAAGTCCACGGCTAGGGGCGAGCCCCGTGCACTCGCCCGTCGGGCTGGGGCAGGCGTCGCGGCCGGTGTCCCCCGCCTCGCTCTCGGACAGACAGCCCCCCTACTCCCCCTACTCCCCCGCGCTCGCCTCGCCCCAGATACAGACACAGAGCTTGGACGCGGGGACCGCGCAGCAGAAGCACGCGTCCCAGATTAGCGTGTACTCGGACTACTCGTATTATGAGCTGCCGCCGACGCCCACCGGGCCCGGCCCACACCCGCCCTCTCCCGGCCTCGCCCCAGGCTCCTCCTCCCCTTCCGCGCCCCAGCGGCCGCGCACAAAGTCGAACGCGAGCGCGCACCAGAAGGCCACAGCGGCGGGGGCGAACACGACGAACCCGCGGACGCCGCAGGATTTCCTGCAGGTCGGGATCCAGCACCACCTCGAGAACCGGCTCGGCGAGTCCGCGGCCGCGTTCGAGAAGGCGGCGACGCTCGACGGGGGGTGCGGCGTGGGCATGCTCATGTGGGGGCTCGCGCAGCGGCACGGGTGGGGGTGCCCGAAGAGCGAGGCGAGCGGGTTCCGCTGGCTGAGGCGCGCGGCGGAGCTCGCGGTGGCGGACCTCGAGAAGGGGCGGCAGGGGATGGACATGGGCGCGGTCAAGGTGCGTTTGTGTCCCTCGTTTCCCCCCCCCCTCCCTCTCTCCCTCTTTCTCCCGCGCTTGCTTTTCCCCATCTATTCTGTTTTGTCCGGGACCAGCGCTGGGCCGGTGCTGATGATATCTTTTCAACGTCGCGTCGACGGTGGCTTCAGTCGGAACTCGTGCTCGCCATCTACGAGGTGGGGCAGAGCTTCTTCCACGGGTGGGGCGTCGAGAAGGACAAGGTGATGGCCGTGGTCAGTTCCAACTTCCCCCCCCCCCCCACCGCCATCCGCTCCACCGCTGATGGGTCACCTTTGCGCCTGTACTTAGCAATACTTCCGCGTCGCCGCGCGTCTGGGGGACCCCGACGCGCAGCAGGAACTCGCGTTCTGCCTGCTCAACGGCAAGGGGTGCAAGAAGGACAAGCGCGAGTCGGCAAAGTGGTACCGTGCGGCGGTGCGTTTCCGCGTTTCTTGCTCTGGTTTGTGCTTGCTGACCTGGGCTGTGGGCTGTGGGCTGTGGGCTGTCGTGACCATAGGTCGCGCAGGGCGCGAGCGACATCGGGCTCGCCTGGATATACAAGGACAAGTACCAGTGATGCACGCCTCCCGCACCGCGCTGCGCTGCGTTACTATAGCTCTTCGACCTCGGTGAAATATCGGCATACTTTTACTTTGTCCTTGCGCGGCTCCACCGTTCTCTGTCTTGTCATCCGAGTGGGGGGGGGGAAGGTGTGTCGCGATATACCCGTAGCTTCTCATACCAGGCTGCTTTGCGCGCGGGGGAGTCGTGCTCGATCGTTCGCAGCTGTATTTACGCGTTGGCTTCTTGAGGTTGGTATATCATTATTTGCTTTTTCTCGCGTTCTCCTCAAAAAAAACGAAAAAGGAACGGGGTTCGACGAGGAGGGGTTTTGTGTGAAGCACTCTGCTATTCGATAATGCATGAACATCTACTGTGTGCGGGGGGGGCTTGAGTTACAAAAAACAAGGTATTCTCCTACCGAGCTGCCCCAGTGAGGCTCGAACTCACGACCTTCCGATGTCATTGTAATAACAGTCGGACGCTGTAACCAACTCAGCCATGGGGCAGATACTAACTAGCTAACTTGGAAAAACATATACTGAAAAGATAGAAGGAGGGACTGCATCGTTCTGCGATTCTACTAGTCTAGTAAGTTAGTGCTCAACATGTTCAACGCATCGTTCCGAACGACCAGTGGCCACCGCCAATGCATCACGGGATCAAGTTATTGCGAATGTGCATGAACAGCGAGCGAGAGTCTAAATTTTGTTGACAGTTAATTTGAGAGTGCGGGGGTGATCCATGAGAATGTACGCTATCTTTGTCTCCGGAGGAGGCGCGGTTCGAGCCAACATAGGGCTCTTCGAAGTTTATCGGCCTGAGGCTCTGGCAGGGGCTTCCGGTCCTACTTGAGGACGATCTTAGACACGCACCCACCGTGGCGGCTAGATCTCAGGAGAGTCTCCAGTAGCCCGGCCTGTGCATGAGACCCATGAGCCCAATCCACGGCCCCGACCCGCGCCCGCCAGACCCGCTCGCACGCAAACAAGTCCGAGTTTCCAAGAGGTGATCCCGAAACCTAAGCCCGTCTATTCGAAGACGGCCGATCCGCACAGCAGCGCACCGACCCGCAGTATTTTACAACATGGAGAATGAACGAATGGCGATACAGTGACGTTATAGTTATACTAATTAAGCAGCGGCGACAGCCGGTGGACATGAACGGAACCATGTGCCAAGAGGGAGAGAGAAGTTGCCCGCGGCGCATCGAGCGCCGCGGGGGAGCACCACCACCACCAACGGGGGCACGAACGAAAGAACGACTGACCGACCGCTGACAACTCCCCCTCTAGACGTCGGTCCCCAGGAGCACGAGGAGGTCAGCGGCGGGGAGCGGGGGACGGGAGGTCAACGCTCAGTTGCGGAAGCCGCCGCGGCCGAAGCCGTTGGAGGGCTTGCCCGCGGAGGGGTTCGCGCCGGCGTTGTTCTGGCCCTTGCCCGAGAAGCCGCCCTGGTTGCCGGGGGTCTTGCCGGTGTTGGAGCCCTTGATCGCGCCGACGGTCTGCTTCGGGGGCGCGGCGGCGGCGGACGAGGCGGCGCCTGCACCGGCACCAGCACCAGCACCGGAGTTGGAGACGGTGAACTGTGGTGGGACGACGTCAGCATCGGGCGGGAGAAAGGTGATGTGAGTGAGTGAGCGAAGGGGGGGAGGGCACTTACGTAGACCATGTCGTCGAGGGAGCCGTGCTGCGCGATGGAGACGAGGACGGGCTGGTGGTTCGCCGCCGAGTTGATCGACGCGAGACGGTAGACACCCGCCGGGAGACCGCCGGTGACGGTGACGCTCAGGACGCCGCCCTGCGCGGCGTCGTTGAGGCCCTTGAAGAACGCGAACTTGTTGGGGTCCGTGGGCGTGGTCTGGTCGAGGGCGGTGAGCTGCTCGATGACGACGTGGGAGTGGCCCTGGATGTCGCCGCCGCCGTTGACGACCTGGGGCGCGGCGAAGAAGTTCTCCTGCGCGTTGGTGAAGTGGCCGGTCTCGAGGTGCTGGATCGCCATCTGGATGGTGAAGTCCTGGTTGGCGGGGATCGTCGCGCCGTTCTTGGGGTTGACGAACTTGGAGGAGGGCATGTTGCCCGTGGACGCGATGATGCCCATGGGGGCGGGGTTGCAGGAGCCGGTCTTGATCTGCTGGCCGTTGGTGATCGGGAGGTTGGGCACGGTCGCACAGAAGTTGATGAAGTTGTTCGACGACGTGAGCGAGGGCACCTGGCCGGCGGTGGGCTGGTCCTGGCCGTTGTTCTCGAAGCCCGTGGCGATGACGGACTGGACGAGCGCTGGCGTGCGGATAACATTCTCAGCATGCTGTGCCGTTAATGCAATTGAATGAAAGACGACGTACTGAGGGACGTCTGCGGATCGCCGCCGGTGGTGGCCTGCGAGCCGGCCTTGGCGGCAGCGGCTTGGGGAGGCGCGGCACGAGCGTCCTGTCGATCAAATTAATGACCGCTGCGCGACTGCGAGAAGGGACGAAAAATTTACCACGAGGGGCGTGGCGCGGGCGAGGGCAGGGAGAACGGCGAGGATGGCGGAGAGGGAGGTGGTGAACTTCATGGCTGTAGCGAGCGTAAACGGGGGAGGCGAAGCTAGCTTCGTGAAGTGCGAAAAGGCCGAAACGGGCTTGAAGGTTTAAGCTGTAAGCGAGGCGTTGAGTAAGGGCCCGGGACCGAGGCACGGGACAAGAGGCTTACAGGAACCGGGACCGGGCAGCTCTGCTGCCGAGGATGAGAGGCGGAGGAGGGAGAGAGGAGGGGATGGGGGATGAGGAAGGAAGAACGGAGGCGTATATAAGGGGCAGGGGTGACAGGGAAGAGGGAGGACATTGTGCAGTGTGGGGACGGGCGTCTGGGGGAAGGAGGAAGGAAGGATGACCGAGAAGAGCATGTACAGACTGTCGCTAAGGGGACTCGTGGGCGGGGCTATTCTGGGACGGGGGACGTCTTCGGTTGGCAGATCGGGAGCAGAACCGGGGCGTGGTCTGAGCGTCGGACGTGACTGGCGCGGGCCAATCTTGGGAACGTCCTCCGCGATTCGTTCTCACCCGGGCGCCTCTCTTGGACACCGGCGCAGAGTGACAGTGGCAGCGCAGAGCACGCGTGCTGATTGGCCCGCCGTTCACGCTGCTAGTCGAGCTGCCATACGTCATGTCCGTCAGCACGCGTACGACCCAGCACTCGCACCCGCAGGCACCAGCAGCACCAGCACCCGCGTTCGCCAATCGCACCGGGTCAATTGCACTCACTCACCCTTTGCCTGCACCGCGCACATGAACGCCGCGAGCGTGTCGACCTCCCGCACCTCCTGCGCCCGAAAGTGCCGCTCGGCCATCCCGGCCAGCACACCCTCCACCTCCGCAATGTCCCCGTACACCGGCGGCGGCCCCGGCGCCCGCTGCTCTTCTTCCACCAGACGCGAGCTGCGCCGTCGCGTCCCCCCTCCCTCCCGACGCGCCCGGCTCCCCACCGTCTGCATCGGCCCCGGCGGCGCAGGAACCGGGCTCGACGTCGACGTCCGTCGCAGCGCGTGTCCGTGTGGCGGGACGTGGCTCTTCGGCCGCAGCAGCGACGACGGCGGCCCAGGATCCTCGACGCTCAGCGGCGACGGATCCAGGTCGGGCACCAGGTCAAAGTGTGAGAGGTATCGATGAAGCGCGTCCGACGGGAGTGCCGTAAAGTCTATCTGCAACAACCGACGCTCGACGTTAGCATCAACCGACTGACGCGTTCCGCCGTTTATTTTTCGCTCCACTCTGGGAGACCGAGCTTGATCCTCCCCGCGCCCCCGGGATCAGAGCGCAGATGGGCGTGATGCACGGCCCCCGCCAGAACGAGAACCACCCCTGGTCTTCTCGGGCGGGTCCCTTACGAAACCCGCACCAAGGCGACCGCGGCCCCACTCAGATAATCACTAGCACTTCCTTCATTTCCCACTCGCCCACCTTCACCGCGACCACGAGCTACGAATATATACGCTCACAGCGGCCCAGCCCAGAGTGCGTACGCGGCATGGCCGACACCCCCGCCCCCCTGTCCGAGGCATCTCCGGGCGCGTCTGCCGGCACAACTGCCTCAAACGCTTCTGCATCATCGTCCGTTAAGCGTGCCTCCGACAGCTGCCAACTTCATCCCGTCGACAGTTGTCCCGCTCGACTTGCGCGGCGGACGCGCGTCCCACGTCGATCTGCCACTGCCAGCCCCTTAATCCGAGTCTCGAGCCTCGAGCCTCGCGTCTCGCGTGCTTCCTCGTCTCTCGGCACAGGGGCGTATACTGCGACTGGTCGGCCGAAATGGATCACTCACCAGAGACACCCTGTCCTCCCTAGCATCCGCCCTGTGCGCCGCCTCTCCAGCTGCGTTCGTCTGGCCCCCCGCTCCCCCCGCTCCCCCGCCTCCCCCAGCCCCAGCCCCGGCCCCGGCCGCGGAGCCAGCGCCGTCGACGCGCTTGCGCTTCGTCCGCTCGCGGTCGCCGTCGGCGCGCTCCCCCGCCGCGCGCTTCGTGCCCGCCGCGGCGTGGTACGCGGCGTCGTCCGCCTGCGCCGCGCGTTTCCGGGCGTTTTGCGCGCGGGGGCGCGGCGCCGCGGGGGCGGAGCTGACGGGGGGCGTTGCGGGTGCAGGTGCGTTGGGCCCTGCGAGGTGGTTTGGGTGCTGGTGTTGGTGTTGGTGTTGGTGCTGGTGCTGATGCTGGGTGGGAGGGGCGTGGGGGTGTGCGGAGGACGGCTGGGCGTGTGAGTGGGAATAGGAGTGGGAGTGGGAGTGGGAGTGGGAGCCGGCCGGGGCGGTATGAGGCATCTTGAGGACGACGTTGAGGCTCGTCGATCGACAATTTGTGGGAGATGAGCGATGGGTGAGGTACGCGGATAGCTACAGGCTACAGCTACTTTGCCCAGGGCGAGCGGGTGCGGCTACGTACGTACGGCGACGCGTTCGTTCTCGTGCTTCGTGTGGACCTGGTCACCGGGTTGAGTTGGGTGAGTGCGTGGGGCAGGCCTCGGTGCGGCACGCAAAGTCCAAGGTGGCTGGTTGCCAGGTAAGCAGGAGGCTCTCTGTAGCTAGGAGGAGGGCCGGTCGACAACGAGGAGGAAGATGAAAAGCAACCGAGCGCGGTCGACGACGCGACTGCAAGAGCCTCGCGCGCAGAGGAGCTCGTCGAGTCGGATGAGATTCGAGAAGTCTGCGTTCGGCTGGGCGGACGGCACGATGTCACCGCTCTCTGCTCCGACTCGCTTTCCAGCACGCCCGAGTCCTGATCAGGCACGGCGCACGTGGCTTCATGATATTGATTGGTATATTTTGGGCCGGATTTGGCAGGCCGGCTACTTTTTTTGGCACGGTTGACGGTTGACCGCCGTCAGGGACCTCTCTAATTATAACGACGAGGACCTCGGGAGGCCTCGGGGCCTGGCAAGCTTGCCACTGCTACGTATAACGTACTTGCGGGAAAGACACCTCGGCGACCGTTCATTACGTTGCTCATTCCGCCGCTCGACCACCACGATCTGTCCGGGGAA